ACCTGCTCTGAATTTTGTAAAGAATCCTACCCTCTGTTGGCAAGCTCGTAACCCGTTGGCGCGACTGCAGCGGTCACTATTCTGCAGATTGAGTGCACGTTGCTTGAGCGGTAAGCAATCATTCCATAAATTCGTTGGCGCAAATTGCAACCAATCAGAATTCAAGAAGATAATTTTTGGGACTTATGCGACTGATTTTTTATATTTTGGGTGCTATGAGTATGGGTTCTGAGAAAATTCACCACTTTTTGATATTATCTGCCCAAAAATCAAAGTTTTGTTGCCGAGACAACTTAAAGGCCAGTTGGAACATTCAGGGCTTTGCCCTGATACGAGAAGTCTTGTTTTGTATTCAGTCTTACTTCACAACTCTTTGCTTCCTCTGTGGATCGATCCCTTGCTCTGCATGGGCCCAGCCGGTTTCGCACACCACTATAAAAAACCACCACAAGTCTGTCTGTACTGCTCGATTTAAAGTTTGAGCATGTCAAATTATCCCGCAATACAAAACCATTCCAAATTCGATTGTGGCAAACTAATTAGTCTTTTTAATTCCATACACGACTAATTCCATGCACGGTGTGATTTTATTCGCTTAAAACTTATGTTTTTGCCAATGTTCCCAATTTACCAAAAACTATTTGAGACCAATTAAAAGGCAGTCGGACATTCAGCGTTTTGCCCTGATACAAACAGTCCTGTTTAATGTCAAATTTTGAGTAATCTAGCAAATTGTTCAGACCAATTATTTTGCTTCATGTCAAATTGGATTGGTTTTGAATGCGGGATAGTTCACCGTTCACAAATAACCATGTTTTTACTTTCAAACTTACAGATAAAATATATAAAATCCGAATTAATGGCCCAAAAGAGTCCAAATTAGCAAATTTTAAACAAGCGGAATCTTTAAAAAAATTGATTGCACTTAGAAAATTTTTGATAATTAAATTCAGGGAGTCGATTTGTTCATTATGGTGTAAAAATTCTCTTTGCAGCTTTGATTTTGATTGCCGAAGTTGGTCTGGCTAACAAAATTAACTCAAGTTTATATAAACCCTCACTTTTTTTGAAACATGGAATAATTAAGGTCTTATGGTCACTTAAAACGATCACGATCGCTACCAGTAAATACGGAATAGGTCCAATGGACTGTAGAATGAATTGTTTCAATTCAAAAACTGAAACCTTTTGCAAATCAATTTGACTATACCAGCCTTTTTTGATACTATAATAAAAATCAGTCAGCGTACCGACAATTTTTGTATTTTTGGTGTAACTATCATCGATCGTTTATTCTAAATGAAAATGGCGTTTATTTATACCTAATGATCAAGCTACCTGAAATTGACATGTCCAACCCAAAATTAACATTATCAACTTACAACCAACTTTATCAAGATCGCAAAATTACAAGCTATCGATTAGTTAGATGTAGAAAGCCAGTTAACTCTCGCGGTCTCGATAAGCAACATGAAATCAAATCAACGACTCATTTGATGAGCCACAACTTTGGAATGTCATCTTATGTTATGGATACTAATAGTCTCAACAAAAACGAAGAAACGAACCCAATTTCTCTGAATCAAAGATCAACAGTTGAACTAACGAGAAGTTTCAAAAACTCCTTGCCGAATCAGGAATCTAAGCTAAGAAGAATGAATCGTCACTTTTACTCAAAAAAAATCGAAACTCGAAATTACAAGTCCCAAATATTGAGCAAAAATGATCAGGGCCAGACTCTGTATGAAAATGATGCGTATTCAGACGAGCTGGGCTTTCACTCAGTGACTTATGCAGAAACCAGCCAATCAGATTCAATGAATGAATCGACAAGTAACCTTCTGAATCATCCAAAACTTAATCTCACACTTCCGAAAATTGACGTTCTTAACAGATCTGGAAGCTTCAAAACATCTTCGCTGCGGGATTTACGCACTGATTGGGCCAAACAGGTCAAAAGTTATACAAGGTCAACGACCTTGGTGGCCCGACAGGAAAGGTTGCAAGAGCTGAGAATCAAAGAAGAAGAACGACTGAAAAACCGGGAGGAAATTATCAAAAGAAACAAACATTTGAAAAATGTGCGGTTATGGCAGAAAGCGATTAGTAAAGTCATATTAACGAAGAAGCAGCAACAGCTCCGTATACACATGTACTGGATGAATGCATCCAAAGAAATCATGAGACGCAACTTCAGAAAGAAGGCGGGAACAATCGGAGACCAGTACAAAGTAATTTTTTTCTTACTTTCTTTCTTCCATAGCTCGAAATTTGCTCACATTTTAGAATCGTGAATGTAAAATTATCGCATTATCAGAGTCAGGGGCAGATTTAGCCCCCCCCCCCCCCCCTCAGGGATTCGACCCCCTGCCGTACTTTTTAAGAAACCTGTTTTTGGCCAACCGACCCTAAAATTTTTCTAAAGGCGCCTTTGGCGCCAATATATACTATTTTTGAGGGGGCGTAATTTTCCAAAAAGTGCCCGAAAACGTTTTTTTACCTGCTTTTTCAAAAATTTGCTTGCGGCGCAGGAAAACATTTGGCCAAAACAGCGTCTTTTAAGTGCTTTAGGAGAGCTCGGAAAATTAATTTGGTCGACCTAAAAAAAAGTCGTCAAATTTGGTCGACCTATAAAAAAAGTCGTCAAAAAGTCGACCTAAAAATTTGGCCAAAATAGCGTCTTTTAAGTGCTTTAGGAGAGCTCGGAAAATCAATTTGGTCGAAATAAAAAAAATTGTCAAATCCGCCCCAAACCCCCCCCCCCCCCCATCCTCGAGAAAATCCTAGATCCGCCCCTTTATCAGAGTAATTTTTGTGTTTTATTTTTTGCCAAAACAGACAAATTAATGAGAACTACTTTAAGTTTAAGCCAAAGATATTATTGTGAAACAGATATCACTTTAGGGAATCAATAAGATTTTGGAAAAAAATGAAAAAAAAAAAAAAAAGAAAAACCGGGTTTTCATTTTCTTTTTTTTGACCAACAAATTTTTATTTAGTCACATGGTGTTTAATTTTTCACTGCTTTCTACAATATCACCTGATTTTCAAAACTTTTGCCCAAAATGCGTAGGAAATACGTTTTTTTTTCTAGATAAAAAAACAAATCCTAAAAATTTGCCCTTTGAAGTATCGTTCTCCATTACATACAATTTTAGCGATAACAAACAGGTCTGATACCAAGTATATGAAGTGCAAGCCCAAATCTCACAAAAAAAAGAACATCGGCTACCCCCAGTTCGAGCAATTTTTACATTTTTGAATACTAGTAACTACACTTAAAAAAACCGTCCGCAAACTACAAATATTTTTGTACCGACTTTCGAAGAAAAGGAAGACTAGATATGCTGTGGGCCGTTTTTTCTTTTTCAGAGCAATTTCATTAAACTTTTTGGTCACTCGGTGGAATGATCTTTTGATCTGCCTGGGCCCAGCCCTCACATTCCAATTTGAATTGAGGCAGCTAATTGGTCATATTAATTCCATGCACGACTCACACTTCAACACTTAGTTTGATATTGTCAGCCTAAAATTCATTGTGTTGCCGAAAATTAAATTATCAAAAAATTTTCGAGACTAATCAAAGGGCGGTTCCGTCATTCAGGCTTTGGCCTGATACAAGCAGTCTGGTTATCATATTTTTGACGAAAATTTAGAAAAAAAAAACAAGTTTAGTTATTTGAAAAACTCCGGTTCTGGCAAAAAAAAATTACTAACAATAGCTTTGTAACGCTGTGGAGAAGACTAATTGAACCTTTCTTTTTGCGATAATTTTTATAAAGATGAAGAAAACTGTTTCTATTAGGGCCCTTTTGGTTTTTCTCCGTTAATTTCAATGAATTATTTTAACTCTTCTGTGTTTTAGATAATCAAGTTCCAGCAATTTGCTTTGAATCAGTTTGCAATAGCTTTGAATGCGGCTTACGCATTGAAAAATCTATAATAAGATTTTAAAACAGAAATTTTTTAGTCCATTGATTTGGCAGAATCGAAAATGTGGAGATCCTCAGATTTTCCCATGCATGACTGAGTCAAGCAGTACGAAATTAAAATGACCGAATAGCTGGCCTCAATCTATTTGGAACATTTTTGTAGTACGGGGTAATTTAAATCATAATTAAACCGCGTTATGTTTTCGGCATTAAAAAAATCTTAACAGTTTTCATAATTTAGTCCACAGGATGGTGAATTTGGCAATTTTCATCAAATCTACAAAATTTTTAAAACTGCGAAGAAGTTTTGTTTAATGCCGACAACATATCCCGGTTTATTTATGCGTGGTGAATTATCCCGTAATTAAAAATTTTCCAAACTGATTGAGGCCAACTATTCAGTCGAATTATTTTCAAACAACTCGAATTCTAACTCTTGATGTTTGATATCGTCCATAGCTCAACTGTTTTTATAAATTTTTTACTACTAACTATTCGATACCAATTACGTGGCAGTCCAAAAAGTCCGGGTTATGCTTTGATATACAAGCGTCTTAAGTGATCTGTGTCAGTATAATCCCGCTGCGTATGTTTTTCAGTAATGATACGTATTGGCACAAAAATTTGGGGACTTTTATGAGAAACTAAGAAATGTTGAACACAAAAGACGTTATCAGCACCACCCCTGACAAATAATAACATGTGTTGAACCATGATTGCCGACCAAAGCTCAAATACTACAGAAATTATACGTAACGGTACACTTGAAAAATACACGTTATGAGGTTTATATTTCTTGAACCGTCACATGTTCAATTGTGGATTGTGTATATTTCATTTTGTGCAAAAAGTGTGGTAAAAAATTTTATTTAAAATTTAGTTCCCGTTGTTTATCGCCTAACGGCGTTCAAAATGACAAATTTTAACAATAGGTTTCATATCAAAACATGGCTGCTCATATATTAAAACGAAACCTTAAATGTTCCGACTGCTCTCTAAAGCCGATAAAATGGTTTTAGATTTTTTTAGAGAAGCATTGAAAATGAACAAAAACAAAAGAATTGCAAATTTAGTTTTGTTTGTCTCTATTTTATCATTAAAACCAAAATGCCAGCCTCAATTAATTTTTGCAAAGACTTCGACTTCATTGGCTGCTTACACATGCTATAGTGTTTTAAAAGAATAATATTTACTTCTGAGCTTAAGACAATTTTTTTTGGTATAAAAAATTGTCAAAAACGTTTACTTAAAAAATAGAATTTTGACTGAACGAAGAAACAACCTCAAGCATAACTATTCCGTCAGTTTTTTGAAAGCCGGAGCAACAAGTATAGTGATGTCCTGAGTTTCAATCGAACAACTTATTACATCTCTGTTTTTGTTTAAAAAAATCTGTTAAGTTTTCCACTTTCTCTGATTAGTAGTACTAATTTACTATGCCTTCTCAGTGAACTATGTGTTTTTTTTTCAAAAATATTTGTGAAGCTCGTGTGTAAACAACCTCGATAATTTCGTTTTACCAGCTATGAAGTTCCATGGATAATAATCGATTATATGGGATTTTCAAAGACTGTCTACATAAAGCTCTAATATGATTGTCATTAATGGAATAATAGTCGGTTATAAATCAAACAAGTAAAACTTGATTTAATCCATTATCATCGATCATAACCTATGTTTTCCAAAAATAAGTAGGATATTGGCTAATGAGATTCGTTTACATTACGAGGCCCCACTGTGCGTTTTGTGAATTGTAAGCGGATTCCGCAGCAGACCAAAAAATAGAATTTCTAATTTTCTTTGCTGTTTGGGCTTTCAAGGACAAAAGTTAAAATATTGTATTGCTCTAAAAAATGGAAATTTTGCCGAATCCGCAACAAAATTTGTGGATTCCGCAACAAAATTTGCGGAGTCCGAAACAGTTTGTGCTATCTTTATACAAATAATAATATATGTGTTACGTAAACTTGAGCTGTTTTTGAAACCGCAACTGTAAATGGAATCCGCAAACTGCAAGTGGACTTCAAAAATTTTAAGTGGAATTGGCAAACTGTAACCAGAATCCGCTTACATTTGCGGAATCTGGAACAGCTATTAATACTCGCTCGTTGCGGAATACGCAACAAAACTAATTTGCCGACAAAATTTACATTACAGGTATTTGTACGCGGAATCCACAGAATTTTGAAAGTTGAATCCATTTACATTTGGAACATGTTCAAATACTTTTCTCTGGAATCCAGGAACATACAGACACAAAGTTGTGCGCCTAACCAGTGTTGAGTCATTTAAATTTTGTTGAATTGGTTAAAAAACTGTAATCTTGATTTTTTTCGTTTTCCTTTTTTTAAATCAAATTTTTAATTTTTTATTTTCTGCTGCCCTATTTTTTATATATAATTTTTACCTATTTGCATATCTTCCAGATACGCAGCCTCAAGCCAAAACGCCTAAAATTACTTAAAAACGTCATTTTTAGCCCGTTTGATCCCCGTCGCTTGCACCAATTACCTCAAAACCACCCCACCGGCGCCTTTCTTCACACATCCCTCTGTTTGTGTGAAATGAGTAAGTAGTTGGCGCAGAATTGATTGAGTGAGGGGGGGGGGGGATGGTGCAGGGTAAGTCTGTGAGAATGTCGAGAATGTATGTGTTTGGGAGTGGGGTCGAAGAATTCAGTAAGTTTTGCCAAAAAATACATAAGGCGTGAGTAAGGCATAAAATATTGCAAATTTTGCAAACAATTTGCTCAACCTTGTACAGATTATAATCAATTATAAACGGTTATAATGGTTTTAATGGATTATTGATTCAATATTTTAGAATAAAAATCGGCTTTTAATCAATTGCGTGGTGCCAAAATAAAGTTATAATTGATTATAAAAGCATTATTATTGATCTCGAAAATCGATTGTAATCAATTTCAACTAAACTCAGGCAAGACAATATAGACAACTCTATTGAGTACTAAAGACTCAAATTATTTCTCCATCGATATTGGCTATGCGGTGCAAAAACTAGCAAAAGAGTCAAATTTTCAAATTTTATAGCTTGGAAGTTTAGAAAAATTTACTCCCGAGACAGGTTGAAGGGCATATTCGGAATATCCAGGATTTAGTAGTTTTATCGAAATAACTCCCACCCCCATCCCCCAACCAACCACCCGAAATGACCAATTGAGCTACCCCCCCCCCCCTCCCAATTGGCAAAACGCACAAAAATGCGTTATTTAACTCAAGTAGATGGTAGATGTCTGAAAAACTTTTTAAAAAGACAAAAAAATTGAAATTTCAAAAAAAAACTCGTATTTTTGTTTGGGTGATCATTGCATCAATATAGCAAGCTACCATGGTTATTAACTTTAGAGGAAAACAAGTTACCAACTTGTTATCTGAATGTCAATAGTTTTTATCCGCAGCACCTTTTTAATGTACGTAATAGCTTTTTTTCATCGTTTAGGACAAAAAATTGCATCCGCTTTAGTCTTTTTTTTTCACTTTTAAATTAGTTTTTGAGTTTTGGTGCTGTGAATTTTGGTATTCCACCAGTATTGGAGAATCTGGCGCATGATTTCATATCATTTACATTTTTTTCAAGTGGTTATAAACATGCCTCAAGTATCTAATGATCTACCCCTCCTCCTACGCGAAAATGGGAAATATATATTTTTTTCGTCTCCCTTAATCATTTTTTGGTTCCAAAAAGTATTTTGACCGAGTAAATATCTGTCCTTTCAGACTATCAGAAGATATCAAGTGATTTATATTGATTTATGACCAAAGGTGTTATGCAATGAGCTGGAACGAGTTATGGAGACGGAGTGGCAGCAATTCCAGAAGAAAGACTACGATATCGGCTATGTGATGGAGAACATCAATCAAGAACACAAGAAGAAACATCAGGCCGAAATACAGGCCCAAATGGTAACTCATTTCTGTGTGTTCAATGTAACATGGTCAGAAAAAATTATATATTCAAGGACCGATTTAATCTGGAGTCAAAAATGAGGCAAAAAGCTTGGTTCATATATAAATTAACTCGGCTTAATTTTTCCGTGGCAAAAAATACACCGCTTGCAGCAACTGGCCCGCATCGTGGTGGGCCTCGACTCATCAATTGTCTCAAATCATTAAGGAAGGATAACTTGGTTCGCTTCTCTTTCACTGGAAGCATACTCCGTAAAAGATTGCTTATTCAGTAAATTGGAACATGTATCAAAACCAAAATGCATAAACTATGACATGCCTTATCTTCATGACGTTTATATCATAGTTCATGCACCTGGTTGGGAGGAGTTTTATAAGCTCAAAAAAATGAAACCCATTGGTACACATACTCTAATGTAAACTAATCTTAATTGAAATTGAATAAAATTACCATTACATGGAATCAGTAGCTCAAAACAATTACAACCTTGTAGAATACAGATCCAGAAATACTAGAAAATTTTTAAATAAGTTCTGTATCTTTATCTGTATCTGAAAATTTTTATAAACTATTTGATTAGTTCGAAAACTTTTTAATTTCATATAAAACTTTAGAGGACACAAATTAGTTTGAGAAGTTGGCAATAATTGGCATTTATTTGCAATTTTATTGAGGTTAAGACACGAAAAGGGTTTTTTTTTGGCGCACGCTCCCTCAAGGTTAGTGAGTAACTTGAGTTATTCGAGATTGGGGCTAACTCAGAAAAAAGTTTCTGACAAGGAACATCATCTGTTGGTCACACTCTCTCATTTTTGGCCGGATAATTTCGTGCAACCCCTTACTCTAATACCGATCTTATTATTATTCTTATTTTCTTTGTTTCCATAGATCCTTGAAAAATTCTGAGTAAAACGCGATTAGTTGAAGAACATATTGTCCGATTTTGTATCAAAACAGTCTGAATGTAAACAGCCAGGGTTTACAATTATGAGAATAAAAGTTAGTTATGTATGGAACATGATTGGTTAGAGGTAAATACTTAACAATATGCAAAACAAAAGATACAAAGCTATACATGAAAAAATATATATAAAACGAAACTCAGAAAACGTCGCATTATCCATTCATAGGGTTTACGAATAAATTCCGAAATGTTTTGAATTTAAAATGATGAGATTGTATTCAGATTTTTTCGAGTGTGTTTTTTTCTTCTATTAAATATTTCAATCCGGACCGGATTGTGGATTGTCTTCGCGCCTTTGATTTGTTCTATGGGTGTGTTGTTTGTTGACCGGGAAGTGATTTGCCCGACCAAGGAGGGTCATAACGCTGAATTCAACAACTTTTCCTCATAAAGGTTGATCGTTAAAATGTGCGCCAATTTCCACTAAGGTATCCGAAGTGAGCTAGATCAAATATGGTTACGCAAGGAGATATAGCGACATTTTTCCTTTAGAATTGATTTTTTTTCATTTTTTTAATGGCGTTGAACTGAATTCTCCTCCCAGAAAGAATTATCACTTTGAGTTGATTGTCGCAACATAACGTCCACGCCCTCGGTAGTTGACTTTCGTTCCACATCGTGTTGCTCAAAATCTGGCTGGAAAATTTTGACTGCATAATATATAAAAAAACATCACTGGGTGAGGTTAAGTTCTAGAATGAAGTTTTCAGTTGTTTGCAGAAGATTTTTCTTATATAACTTCTGTCATAGTATCTAAATTTAGTTCATGTTCCATTTCTAGTTGTGCTACTTAATTCAATTATCTGTCTGGCGCTAACTGGTATTTAACCTTCGGAGTTTGTCTGTCACCTTCGGATGACAGCTATTTTATTGTCTCCGACTAACTTTCTAATTTACGGTTACTTAACTCAAAGGATTAATTTAACAAATCGAAACCGTATTTTCACATGGCGCAGCCAACAGGCCAAAGTGGGGGGAAAAACCCGCTGGGGATTACATCGTTTTGGCCCTCGACTTTTGCAGAGCCACCAATGCTATGGGAACTTTGGTTCAATCGATTTCAATGGGGGATGGTGGCCAAACATAGTATAAACCTAAAGAACTTCTATTATGCCAGTACGTTAACCGCAGCGCAGGTTACAGCATTACCAGAGGAGGTAGACGGGAAGGATCGCCTGGCGTCGGAGCAAACGCTTATCTCGAACTTGTATTTGTGTCTGGGGGAGAAAGGACAGGATGAGCTACATAAGAGGAAACCACACCTGGATTTATCTACAACAAGGTACTCTAGAGTTTTGGATACTATTGAAACAGAATTTAAGAAGGAACGGAACGAAACTTACAAAACATTCCAATTATTGGCACGGAAGCAACAAATAGGAGAATCGTTGGAACAGTTCCACTCAGTGTTGAGTGGGCTGGCCGCTCGATGTAATTTTGGAACATTGGAGACCAAGATTTTGCGGGATGTGTTCATTGTGAACATGAACAATAGGGAGGCCCAAAATGAGTTATGTCGCTCGACGAAGACACTAGAGGAGGTGTACCGCATTGCACTTTCATATGAACGTGGATACAAATATGCTAAGTCATACGGATTGGTAACCGCGGGAGGAACTAGTGGCACTGCCGGTAGAGCTGGAGCGTTCCAAATCAAGACGGAACCGGTGGGAACCATCCGAGGAGGATACAGAAACAAAAGACAGCGGGGCCGTGGATCGTTTAGAGGGCAATCAGAAATGAGAGGGGGTGGTTCTAGAAGATGCTATAATTGTGATCCACCCAATTTTACCCCGGAACACCTCACAACTTGTCCAGCCAAAAATGCAACGTGTAACTTCTGCCGGAAAACGGGACAATACGAGAGGACTTGTAGGGGAAAGCGAAACAATCGGGGAAGACCGGCAGTGGGACTAATCCAAAAACAAGAGGATATGGAAGCTAGTGAAATAGGCGACGCGGAGGATACTTACTCGCAGCATGAGAATTCCGTTGGCTGGGTTAATACACCGGTAAAGAAGCAACGATCGTGGGATTCGGATAGCTCAGGAGATTATGTTGTCATGGCTATCAAATCTCGGAGAGAAACAGAAATAAAAGTGGCCGGCGCCCGGCTACCAATTAAGGTAAATGGAAAGCAAACAAACGTTTGGATAGATAGTGGATCACCCATTTCAATATTCACCATTGGGGAATTGAAACGGACGTTGGGCACCGCAGGCGTCAATGTGAAGGCACCGGCACCGGAGGACGATGAGTTCAGGGATTACGGAAGCAACCCCTTACGACTACTAGGAACGATGGACGTATTGTTGGAAACGAACGGATGGGTGACCAAAGCGAATATCAGAGTGATTGGAGGAAGCAGACCATCAATTATTGGGAGAGACCTAATGCCGAATCTTGGATTGCAGATAGTGCAGAAGGCACCGGAGGAGAATGTGATGTTGGTACAGAACGATCAATCAGCGGCCGAGGCAACAGAGGTGGAGGATTCACTAGACCACTGGCAGACCTACTTCAGTAAGCAATTTGAAAACCTTTTTAACAGAGTCGGAAAAATTAAGAATTATAGGGTACACGCGGATTTTTTCGAAACGTTAACGCCGATTCAACAAAAAGGACGTAGAGTGCCCATCACATTGCAGGATAAGGTCGATAAGGAAATTGATAAACTTTTACGACAAGGACACATTGAAAAGCTGAATGAATGTTCGGATAAGTATTTTGTTTCTCCGATTGTAATAACAGTGAAAAAGGACGGATCAGTAAAATTAGCATTAGAATCCCGGGAGTTGAACATGCAAGTCCACAAGAATAAATACCAAATGCCGAATATTGAAGAGCTTATGGATACGGTAGGACAAACGATAAGCAAATGGAAACCAGGAGACGTATAATTTTCTACTATGGATCTTACGTACGCGTACGGTCAATTACCACTTAGCCCGGAAACGAGCGTTCAATGCAATTTTTCGCTGGTGGGAGGAAAATCAACGTGCACGTATCGTTTTCAAACGGGGTTCTACGGCCTTACAACCATGCCAGCGGAATTTCAAAGAGTGATGGATACGATCCTTTCGGAATTTCCGCAGGCGAATGCCTTTATTGATGACATTTTGGTGGGCACCAAAGGTACGGAGATTGAGCATATCTCGACAGTTGAGAAAATTTTGCGGAAGTTGGATCGCGAGAATATGTCGCCTAAGCTCACTAAATGCCAATTTGCGCGTAGAGAGTGTGAATGGTTGGGGCACAAAATAACTCGTACCGGAATAACACCTCTCGTCCGAAAAACGGAACCGATCGAATCGCTAACAGCACCAAAAACGGTGTCACAACTTAAATCTTTTATGGGCTCCATTCACAGCTTGCAAAAAAATCTTCCGGCGCTTGCGGAATCATCAGCATTAATACGCCTACTATTAAGCCGGAAAAACGATTATATTTGGAGTGATGAATGTCAAATATCATTCGAAAACCTGAAAAAGCAGGTAGCTAACATAGTAGAACTTCGGCATTTTGATATACACCGGGACACAAGAATTGTGTGTGACGCTAGTCAAAACGGGCTCGGAGCGGTCCTTGAGCAGCTAAATTCCGACGGCTGGCGGCCGATATCATTCGCATCCCGGTATTTAAACGAGGCAGAGAAAAATTATTCAACGAATGAATTAGAAATGCTGGCAGTTGTGTGGGGGGCGGAATATTTGCTAAATGGGAACAACAAAAAGAATAAAACAATGTTCAGCAGATTAACAAGATGGTTAGATCGCCTTATACCGTTCGATTTTCAAGTAGAGCATAAACCCGGAGCAAAAATTGGACTCGCTGATTATCTATCAAGGCATCCCAGTTTGGAACCTCAGCCGGTAAGCACCTATGACATTTAGTAGAATTAGATCCGCCCTCGGATTTGAAAAGAAAGCTTTCTCCAAGAATAGACTCGAGTCTCCACCGGTTAGTAATAATAGACGCGTTTGTAATATATCGAATACAAAACGACCGGTAGAGGGCAAACAATCATGCGGTGGAAATCGGACCAATCACAGAGCGACGAATTGCATTTCCGGCAGGTCAATTAAGCCCAGTAATAATTTAGTTGGGACTATTATTGAAGCTGACTTTAGTTACTTAAATTCTTCAAAAACAAACACTCAAAATTTAAAACACAATTTAATCATGAAACCAAAAATCAGAAAAATATTCAAACGATACCCCAGCATTAGTAGTAGCGATGAAATAGAGGAGGTTGATGTGGATATGCAGGCGGTTACAACAGAAGTCCGGAACACTAAAACAAATACCATTATTTCCATTCCGTCGGTTTACCCTGGCGAAAGTTATCCACCGGTTAATCCGGAAAATAGGGTTTTGTCCGTCATTCCGAAAAATTGCAAAATCGTCAGTAAACAAACCGCTCTTCCCGAATTGTTTAATCTTCGATTCATAGAATCACAATATAATTCAGATCCGCAATTACAAGCCATTATCGAATTAATTAAATGTAAAGACCCTCAGTTACACTCAAAAATTGCAGCGATGAGTAAGTACTATGCGCAGTATACTCAGGACTTTCACGTAAGAGACGGATGCCTGTGGATGGACGAGAGGCTAGTGATCCCTAACACCTTGCAAGCGGCGGTAAACAATAGGCTACATTATTATCACCACGGGAAATCAAGAAGGTACCAAAGACATCTGGTACCCGTACATGTTCCGTAACTTAGCAACTATCGCGGGGAATTGCCAGGAATGCACATTAGCTGGTAAGAACTTGAAAAATATGTGTTCGAAGGTTGATATAGGGAAAATACCGGAGCCAAAAGAACCGAATGAATCGGTACAACTGGATTTTTGGGGGCCCATTAACTACTTGAAGGAGTCTAAAAAATTTGTTTTGGTGGCGGTGGTTCGGTTCTCACGTTGGCCGTCGGCTATGGTCTGTAATTCAAACCGATCGGATAAAATTATTAAATTTTTAAAAGCATACATTATTGCCCATGGAGTTCCGCGCCAAATTCGAGTTGATCAAGGAACAAACTTTATGTCTAAGGAGGTTAGAGCATTTTGTCATGAACAAGGAATTGAAATTCGCCTCTCGCCAGTGAACGATTATAGGGCAACAAGATGTATCGAGCGCACGTTTGGCAGCATCAAGAACTCAGTACTTACGTATGCGCGGGAGGATAAACCGGAACCCTTGGATCGGATGGTCGAAAGAACCCTCGGAGCTTTAAGATTTGTTAAAAACGCCACCCTCAACATAACACCGTTCGAAGCGCACCACGGCCGAGAAGTTAACACGGTCCTCAGAAATTTGACTAAAAAGCATACTTTACGGAATCTAAATTGGGAAAATAAAATACGATCAAAATCTGCATGTTTAGATGAACGAGACCCAATCGCCCAAATTATTCAATGAATGAATTAGAAATGCTGGCAGTTGTGTGGGGGGCGGAATATTTCCGCAAATATGTGCTGGGAAGAAAATTTTTAGTAGTTACTGATCATAAGGCACTAGTATCATTGCTAAATGGGAACAACAAAAAGAATCAAACAATGTTCAGCAGATTAACAAGATGGTTAGATCGCCTTATAACGTTCGATTTTCAAGTAGAGCATAAACCCGGAGCAAAAATTGGACTCGCTGATTATCTATCAAGGCATCTCAGTTTGGAACCTCAACCGGTTAGCACCCAACTGGGGAATCCGATCGGACACTGAGTACGACCTGAAAAATAGGCGAAGACCACTGAAATTGGCCGATGACCAAGCCGCTAACCAGGATGAGCCTGGAATTGTGCGAGCACCAAGTGACCCAGTCGAAATACCACCGGCAGTGGTGATGTAGAGGACCGGGGATCGGAATATAAATAGGTATAGACCATTAAACTCGGACATAGTTAATCAAAGTGAGCATGCTATTGAAATGAGTAATGGTGCTGTGCTTAGAAAATCTGGAGTAGCACTAAAGAAGGCAAAGATTTTGAAGAAACGGGCGCCGGGACAAATCGCGGCACCACCAACGCCATGGGACCTAAAAAGAAAGTTACTAATGAGTAGTAGCCAGCCAAGCAGCTCAAAAGGCACCAGGGGAACTTTCCATGGCACCGTGGGAAAGAAGTCACGATTCCAAAATTTGGAAATCGTGGAGGACTCAGAATCGGACGCGGAGGACCATTTACCGCTAATTACAACGAAGCAAGCCAAACCGACAAGTGGGGGAACAAACATTGGCGAAGAGGGACAAGGAACGTCTAGTGGGGGACAGGACCAAGTACAGACTGAAACCATAACGATTCGACCCAGTAACTACGAGACAGCGACGGACTACACAATTGCACGCGAACAGGAAATCGAAGCAAACCGAAGGAAGGAAAATACCGGAGGAATCACACCACAGGAGACGGAACGCGAAGCGGAGCAAATTCCAGAAATTCCAGAAACCAAGGAGAAAAAGCGGGGTCGAAAACAACGACTTGTGTCCTACTGAAGTCAAGATTCAGCTAGTTCATTGGCTGAAACTAGTTCTAGACGGTCGGGAAGAAAACGAACCGCAGTGACTAAGATGGGGGCTGTCATGATCGATAACATCCAAAAGACGGATAAGTCAGGAGCAAAATGAAAAAGGATGAGGAAAGGAAGTATGAGTAACAAATTTATATAAACAAACTTACAAAACTGTTAACATATGGAGGTCCAGGGAGAGGGCATGCTGTGAAACGGCAAAAACTCAAAAGTTTGTGTTTTAAAGGTTGTTGTAGTTAATTGACAAAACTTGTTATTAACCCTATTGATTACTGTTAACATCGATGCATTGGATACGTTGATTAGAGTCATTAATTTTTACAAGGAGGGAAATGTCATAGTATCTAAATTTAGTTCATGTTCCATTTCTAGTTATGCTACTTAATTCATTTATCTGTCTGGCGCTAACTGGTATTTAACCTTCGGAGTTTGTCTGTCACCTTCGGATGACAGCTATTTTATTGTCTCCGACTAACTTTCTAATTTACGGTTACTTAACTCAAAGGATTAATTTAGCACATCGAAACCGTATTTTCACACTTCATTAGGGTTGGAGAGTTCACACTAAAACAACTCTGAGTAATAACTATGTAGGGTCGAAGCATTTTTAACTAGGTGAGTTGGGTCGGCTTTAGAGCCTGCTCAGGACGTTTTTAATTGGTGGTTGAGTCCAATTTTGGAAGTATAATAATGAAGAGTGTTTTTGGTGAAAGGGTTCTTTTATCTTACAATTTCTGCTATTCTTTCCTGAGATGATTGTGTATCATTTTCAACCGTTTTTTCCATCTTGTTAATTTAATCGTGGGCTAGATCGAAGAGAATCCCTTAGTCATATTTGCTGCTTTTTGAATTTGTTCTCATGTTCTACAAAACCTGTAAGCAGGGGCAGATTTGCAGATTTAGAGGGGGAGGCGGGGGGGGGGGATTGTTGGCGGACGCCTTCTTTCCTCAGGGATTCGACCCCCTGTCGTACTTTTTAAGAAACCTGTTTTTGGCCAACCAACCCTAAAATTTTTCTAAAGGCGCTTTTGGCGCCAATATATACTAAATTTAAGGGGGGAGCGCGCGCCGAAAAAACGCGATTTTTTGGTCAAAGTTTTCCAAGAAGTACCTTTTTTGAATTTTTTTTTTAAAATTTTGCCTGCGGTGCAGAAAATTAAAAATCAATTCGGTCGACCTAAAAAAAGGTCATTTCATTTGATTGTTATCGATAACAAATCATTATTCATTTTTAAAGTTCCTCGATGATTGATTATATTTGAATTGGAATGTGACTGATTACACTTATCTTAAAGGACCTTTCACTTTTTTTAAAGGTGCCTGTGGCTCAAAATATACTTAATTTGAGAGGGAAGCTCGCGCCGAAAAAATGCGCTTGTTAGGTCAAAATTTTCCAAAAAACGCCTTAAACGCCTTTTTTGGCCTGTTTTTTCAAAATTTTGCGGCGCAGTTGAACAGGGTATTCATAGCGATTTGTGAGAGCTCGGAAAATCAATTTGGTCGACCTAAAAAAAATCTTGATAAATTTTCGAAAACTTTTTGAAAATCAGCTCCTCCCCCTCGAGAAAGTCCTAGATCCGCCTCTGCTTTGAAACGTAACAGGGTTCTTACTCTTTCAAAGTTTTACCCTTCAATGATTGGTATTTTAAAGTCTTTTTTAAAAAAAAACATTTAGTAATATAGCTTAATGAAAAGTGTTCACAAGTTTTTTTGTCCTAACCCATGGCTCCCATTCGTTAAAAAATGCAATTTACCAGCTCACGATTTCAAATGGGCCGCCCTACTTGATTGCGTGTCGCTACTAGTGCAATTAGAATTAAGCGTGTTCTATTAAGTTACAGTTAAAACCTGAGTTCATGAATGCCGCATCAATTCTTGCCGCGCATCAATTAATGAGTATTTCGCTGCACGCCCATATTGCTTACTCAAGTTTGCAATGTTGAACAGCGTGCACTTCGCCAAAAATTTAATTAGGCGATAATAAAGTTTAAATTTAATTAAAAACAAATGATTCTTAAAATCAATTAAAAATTATTACTATTATGTTTTCGTCTGATTGAACACATAATTAAAGCATTTTTACAGAGTACCAGGCACACAAATTCATCGCTACGCCCCCTGTGGGACCGCATTTCTAAACCAGCTTTTAGAAAAGAGACTCATTAAAAAATGCGGAAACGTACTCCTAAACCAAATATATACCTAGCAGTCTTCTACAAAGATGTCCTTTTATATCGTTGATTCGCTGATTTGATTTAAGGACGAAGATTACAAGGAACAGCTTCGTTCCAACATTGATCCGAAGGCGGCTAAACGAGTGCAGATGTTGCAGAAAAAGCTGGCTTCCAAAAAATAACTCCCTTCTGTCGCCACTTCTTCGTCTTCAATTACATCGACTGTGTCTGCCGCTGCGATGCCAGCAGATGCTAAAACTTCATCCTCTGGAAATGCAATCGCGAACTGAATTAGTTAAGCTCAAAACAAACTGATAAGAATTTAAAAAACTGTTCTAACACTATACAGATTGAGGATCGAACAAAGCTAGACATTCGATTGTCGATTTTAGCTCTGGTGATCCTTTACCTGTGTAAAGAACTTAAAATCGTATTTCAAAAACATGCCCATCAGCCTGTTTGACCTAAATTTTCTCTGCTCATATTGTTTCTTAGCTTTTGACTGGTTCAGTTAGTGAACCTGCGATACTTTTATGAGCCTTAATTTACTGCTCAGACGAGTCAGACGAGAGACTACTTTGAATTCAACAACCTCCAGAAATATAGCATGCTTTCTTTTGAGATAAAGGATGAAAAGTGAGATGAATACGAACCGAGTCGCGGACCGCAACTTACTAAAAAACTTTAAAAGTCCCGCCGCATACTGTTTTTTGACCGAATTACTCGCGCCGCAGGTCGAAGTGCCGTACAACTTTATTGTAGTCGCGCCGCGGCTCTAAGTCTCATCTCAGCCGCGCCAAAGTCTCAAGTTAAGTCGTAACGCCAACGTGTTATCTTAAGTTGGGCGCCAAAGTTTCATCTTTAGTCACGCCGTCAAGGTTTTATCTCAAGGCGGGCCGCCAAAACCTTACCATACGTCATGCCGTCAATTTTTATAATTAATTCGTGTCGCCAAATTTATATTCAATTTTTGCCGCTAAAATCTTATCTAAAGTCGCGCCGCCCAAATCTTAACGTTTGATCCGAAACTAACAAATAGTGCGAGCCTATCCAGTTAAAAATAAATAGATTGATGAACAGATGTGTATATTAACAAAATTTGGACAAATACCTTTTCGAAAAAAAATCTAGTCTTTTTTTCCAATTTAATGTCTCTGCGCCATGCTATCTATTTTTGGCCGGATTGGTTCGTTCTACTCTCTACTCATATATCTAAAACTAATTGTTCTTTTTGTTCCGACTTTCGAAGAAAGTGAGACATTTATATGCTCGGGGTGGCTTTTTGTTTTTTCATACAGACCAATTTTTAAAAACTTTGGCAACAAGGGGACGCGATATCCGCATCTGCATGCGCCTAACCAGGTGTACATACCACAATAGTAAACTGCTCGTTTAATGTAAGTTCCAAATTTTTTGAGGCAGCTAATTGGTTTTATTAATTCCATGCACGACTCAAATTGTAGCTTAATTTACAAAAATATATTCGAGAAATTAAATGGCTGTCATAACATTCAGGGCTTTGCCCTGATACGTACTTACTTGTTTTCCATAGCCACATTAAAACTAAGAGCAAAATACTGAAAAGCAAAGGTAATTATTGAAATCGAACCTTTCAAATCAGAAGGCAACTTGGTCTCCTCTGATGTTTTGCAGTTCTAGTTTAATAGAAAATTAACTTCTGGTACCATTAAAAAGCTTCAAATTTTCCAACTCTTTTTTGCTGTGTTTGAAGTAAATTTATGCTAATAGGTTTGAGATTTATTTTATAAAAGTAATATTCCTAAATAATATGAAAACAAATTTTTTTATTTCAAAAATCCGCTGATCAAAAAAATGTATGAAGCTTTTTTTAGATTTATTATAACATTGTTTGGAGCAAACTAACTCATTTCAGTTCGGCTTAAAATTTTTTTCTTGAGCGCGCTTCACCGTAGTTAAAAGTTTTAGCCGTATTTGCCACGCAGTATTGAACAAGTGGAAATACCGCATTCTGTTTTTTATCCTAAATTGAAAGAAGTTGTCCCAACTTCAAGTTCATAAAAACAAAAGTTTTATGAGTTATGTATGAAGTACTATACTCATAGAGTAATTTCAGATAAGTTTCACCGTCTGCTCGTCACGCTATCTTATTTTCGGCCGGATAGATTCGTGCAACTTATTAGTCTAATACCAATCTTAATCTTACTCTTACATCTCCTAGTCTCAATAGATCTAGTGTACACCGGTTTATGCGAAATAGTTCCAGAATGAGAACAACTGTATTCTAAGTTTAATTTTAATTGTTCTGGTGTTGAAACTACAAGTAGTTTCAACACTTACAAATAAGTGGGTTGTTAGTTTGATGGAGTAAGATTGGTTAGTATTTAATATTTTATAGAGATAAAATACCATAATAATAACCAATGAGAAATACTAGTTTAGATCTGGTTCCACCCATCCGGAATTTAGAGAGTTTTAGTTTTTCAATGTTCTATTGTAGTGTAGGGTGGATGATGGTGTGTTTTTTAGAGGTTGCGAGCATATTCTTTTTTCTGGTTTGGAAGAAGAGATGTTATCAGGATAGTTTCGGGAGATCGTATTATGATTTTTGATCGGTTGTGATGAGTGTTGATTTAGTTGATTTTAGAGAAAAGGAACATTTCTATTCTACATTGCTGTTCTCAATCTCGTTCGGATGTGGCATGTGGTTTGACTTTGGATGAAGTGCCTGGTGACTCGGATCTGTACGTATACTTGAACGTCAAGATGGCCATTGTTCTGTTGCAATGGGTTTCCTTTGCTGCGATGCCGAGTCGTACTTTAAATCCATTGAGTGTAGTGACTGTAGGCGGCATGTCAGGTGGGTTTTGCCATTCCGTAGTTGGAGTGTGATTGCGTTGTCAAGTTCCTTGCTGCTCGTCTTTGGGCTGTATATTATCTATATATTGCATTGTATTATTTACATATATAAATCTTTGTTAATCTTGTTTTTTAGTCATGATCTTGCTTTAGTTTTTATCGCAAAAGCGTTATTATTTAGTTCGGTTATTTTTAAGAGCTACTCACAATTGAGTAACTCCCGTCAAAAATAGAGGGTGTTGTCACAAAGCGTGGATGTAGCACGGTGGGTGAGGCCGGCTATAGAGCATGCTCAGGACGTTCTCTTCTGGTGGATTAGGCCAGGAGTGAGGGTATAATTTCATGCTCTCTTTTTTAGAGGGTCCTGTTTTAGTTCAACTTTTCGTGCCTTTGTTTATTACTGGTTCTTTCTTTTGTTGTCTTAGATGTGTCTTTTTCTCAAAAATCAATATGTTTGTTTTGGGTTTGTCTTTTGATTTTTTGGTGTTTTGTTCTTTTGTGTTCAGACTTAAAAGTAGTCTTCAAAAGAATTATTTATCCAGTTCTAAGCTGGTAATAATCCAGTTTGGGTACCGTGGGTTTTCTTTTCTCAATCATGCTGTTAGGTTGTGGTTTGTGGTGAGTAAGATTTAGTAAGCTTGCGTTGGTTAGTTTGGATTTTTATATAATTCCTTTCCACCCGGGTTGAAGGAAAGTTTGAAACGTGTTAAAACTTGTTAGAGTTGTTATCAGTGAAAATTAAAACTTAAATTCATTATTTTAAACAGTTCTTCGTGGGTGAGCTGTGCGATTGTGGATAGAATTTGTGGGCGAGTGAACATAATGAAGCGTCTTTGAAAAGGTTAGTACAACGGTTTGCAATTTTTCATTAATTTACTACTTCAAAATTATGAAGTTTACTGCTTGATTTGGGGGTTGTAATTATCAATTTATTTTCTATTATATGGAGATTTACTGCTTTGGGGAAAAGAATTTATTTGTTAATTTATTGCTTTGTACGGGAGAATTTTACTTCTTAATAATTGAAATTGGTTAATGAAAATTTATGAACCTAGAAAAAATTTCCTTTTTTTATTTCGTTTTTTTTGTAGATGATTGATGATCATGCCTACGAAGAAAAAAGAAAACATTTATGAAGAATGGTTAGTTTTGTTCGTATTTGTTAGTAAAGTTTTCAATACATATTATCTAAACGTCGGCGGAGAATTCGTGGGGAAAAACGTCGTGGATGATGTCTGATGAGGTTAGTAGCTTAGCTAGCAAACGAATGATGTGTTTAGTTTGAAGAAGGTGCCAAAGCAATTCGAGTGCTTTAATGATGTTATGCTCTTCAGTGCTAGGTGAGAGTCAAATGGTTTGTTTTGAATAAGGTTATAGAATTTATGATTATAGCGAGTGTTATATTTGAATTCTAGGATTGGGACTTCAACGGGCTAGAGGAATTCGTGTGGAACGATTAGTGGGCGGGATTCGTCTTCGTTTAAGAGTTTGGTTAGGGGACAGAAGATTTACATCTGGTTGATGGGATCGTAAATTCGGAGGATGCCTTGTAGGTTAGTGCCTTTAATACAATAGGTAAATTTAAGAAAAATTTGTGAGTGTATTCAGAGTTAATGTATTGATATCTATGGTGAGCTTATCGTGCTGGTGTTTTAAGAATGTAATGGTGTTGAATGAACTGGTAGTAAGTGTACGTGTGTGTTTGTTTAGGTCGTAACATGACATCGTGTGAATAGTGCAAATCACGTTCTTTGGGTATGAGGAAATAAAAGGCTAGTGAAAAGTGGTTAAATTTAATTTGTTAAAGTATGAATCATAAGCATGAAAATCACGGAGTGTTGCTGAAATGACGTTGTCGTAATTTTTATTTAAGGTGTTGAGGGTGAAAATGTATGGGGGTTTTGATGAAAATTTTTTCTGTTGTTGGGGGTGGTTAGCAAATGGGTCGTTGTTTAGAAAGATGTCTTCGTTAGGTCGTATGATGTTATGATCGTAAAAATTGATAGAACATTCATTGGATTTGGGTGCGTTGAATTTGATTAGTGATTGTCTGTATTCTATCTGTGTGAATTGCTTTGGGGTCAGTGCTGCTGTTAGAATATAGAGTTGGGTGCTGCATACTTCGTTGTCATGAGGGGTGTTATATAGTGGTAGTGATAGTGGATTAGTAAAGTGTTAGAATGATGTCCATGAAAGTGTAGGGTATAATACGTGCTCTTTTACATAATTAGGTTTCTCGTCATTGGGGTCTAAATGGAAGAATGTGTATTGCGGGAAAAAAGGGTAAACATATTTGGAGAAACTTTTTGGTGTTAGTGTGAAGTGGATGATTGATAAATGTTTTGGTTGCTCCTGGGTTAGA